CACCTTCATTTCTTACAAACTTTGGTATTCTCTAGCCCTAGTTTGTCCCATTGTATTAATGTTATGCAAGTAATTTTTCTAGAGCTTAATAAAAACAATTCAGGAAAAAAGTTTTCAAAAAGTATTTCCCCCCTCCTCCCAGGGCACATTTTCTCCAGAAAAAGAAAAAAAAGTTGCTCAATTTTCTCTAATCTTCTTTTATAGTGGCTCTATTACTTCCTCAGTATGTTCTAGAGCAGAGTTTTCTAAACATCTGTTATGACACATTACTGTATCGGCTGCAGTGTGTAGGTGTGCTGCGTGAACGAGAAATGATACAATTTTGGATTTGTATGTTATTATCTTATAAATCATATATTTTAAACAATATATAAATGACAAGTTTTCATAAGATGTTATGTCCCATACATTTTTAATTACAATTTATGAATGTGTCTATTTCTTGTAAGGGGTTGGTTTAACCTCCGGTTTGCTTGTAAAACTGAATTACTATGTTGCAAAATTATGTATATCTAAAAACTGTATCACCAACATGAAACATTTGGAAGCTCTGCCCAAGGGCAACATTAGCAAAGAGCAAGCAAAGAAAAGATTAGAAAACAGTTGTTACTTGAAATTATAATTGTAATCTTGATTTTTTTTTTAAGAATATCTCTTTACTTTACAGAAGTTTGGTTATATAGTCCTCCATTTCGTCTTCCACAAATGCTGTAGGGTATTTGAAAAACACCTTGCTCATGGCTCTTAAACAATCGCAGACATATTTTCAGACTAGCTTGATTATTACAGATTGAGTATACCTTATGCGTAATTCAAAAATATGAAATAGTTCAAAATTGGCCACATGAGTGGCTGAGATTGTGAAACTCTTGGTTTCAGTGTACACTAATGTTGCTTCATGCAAAAAAAGTATTAAACATACTGTGAATAAAAATTACCCAGACGGTGTGTGCAAGGTATATATGAAGTACAAATGAAATTTGTGTTTAGATTTTGGTTTCATCTTCAAGAGATCTCATTATGTACATTCAAGTACTCCAAAATCCCAAAAAAATGCAAAACATGGAATGCTTTTGACACAAGCATTTCAGACAAGGCATACTCCATATGTAACAGGGACACGGCTTAGTTGTTTTGTTTTGTTTGTTTTTTAAAGTTTTTACAGTTTCAAAGTGTGTAGGCATACACAATAATTACTGCAACTTGATGTGGTTTTTAAAAAGGTAGTTCTTAAAGTTCCCATTTCTCAGATATGCTTTGGATTAATTTTAGTTGCTTAAAAAGATCTAAGCCTTACAATGGTTCTCAACCTGTGGGTCCTTAGATGTTTTGGCCTTCAACTCCCAGAAATCCTAACAGCTGGTAAAGTGGCTGGGATTTCTGGGAGTTGTAGGCCAAAACATTCGGGGACCCACAGGTAGAGAACCACTGACTAAGTGAAGATTACTAAACCAGGACTGTGGTTTGGCCATATCATGAGAAGACATGACTCCCTAGAAAAAACAGTAATGTTTGGCAAGATAGAAGACAGTTGGAAAAGACCTTATTACAGATGGAAGAGATATCTGTAAGTCTATAAGACCTATGCAGAGTAGTTAAGGATAGCATGTATTGGAGATCTTGTTCATAGGGTTTCTGCCTGTCAGAGCCAACTTGACAACACTTGACAACAGTAATGCTACAGAATGCTAGCCTATGGGGCAAAACAGGCTCCCTTGCTGTGTACTATTTTGTTCTTTCATCACTCTTAACAGAACATGAGATGAAACAAGAGCCAACCCTTGAAGTTATGTGACATTTTTCCTCTGCTATTAAATGAGACCACATCCTCTCAGGATGTACAGAGGAATGCATTGTTTCGGGCAAAAGGAGAAAAATGCTTCAGAGAAGATGAATCTTCTTGTGCTAGGTGTATTAATGCTTGGTCGCTATATTACGTTATGACTTCAAATGCAGTCTGATTCGTTCCATCACACTGTAATACTTCTGATTCTTTTTGGGAAATGAAGTCCCACAAAAAGATTTTAGGATATTTATCTTTTTCTTTCTTTCTTGTGACCAGGTCATGGTAGTATTGCAGAACAGCTATTTTATATTTTTAAAATGTGTTAGGTCTTTTGCCCTGTTACTTTAATAGCCAGTGGTATGTGTTGGATTTTTTAAATTTTACATCCATTAATCTGGATAAGAAAGAGACTGGTTAAAGGGCAGATCATGAAATGAGGAATCAACTTGTGTTGGATAAAGTTATAATCCTCTTAAAGATACCAGGTTTTCTTTTCTAGGGGTTGTCACATTGTTTGCTACCTTGACTCCCTACAGGTTGAAAGGTGGGATAAAAATAAAGTATATAAATATATAGGTATCCAGGTTTTGATGGAGGACAAGACTGCTTTTGACATATAATAGTAGTGATTCAACTACACCAATTCCTGGAGATGTCAACTATGGAAATAGTGGCACATGCCTTAGTTATGTCCTGTTTTGGGATACTGTGCTATGTACTATGGGCCACTGTACCGTGTTTGAGCATTGTGACTCCCTTATTGCTTCATTGGGTACAGATCAGGTTCTTGGCACAATTAAAAAAGCTTTCTGAGAATTGGGATGAACGTATTTCAAGAGAAGCCATTCTTCCTTAAGAGTTTGGCCGGACATTATGTTTTTGAAGATCTCTCTGTTCCACCATTATTTGATGGCTATTGAAGAGAGACGTTTCTAGGTGCTTCTCCCAAGTGAAATGCTATGAGTGTCTATTCAGAGGTGACGCTCAGTAAGTTTCATAGCGCTTACTCTCAACTAGTGGACCTCAAACTACAGTTCAGGATTCATTTTTAAGGGAAAGAATTAATATTGTTTTCTGTTTAAAATGTCTCTGGAGTTTTCTCTTCTAGACACTTAGGAATATTTATGACTTTGAGTTCCATTTGGTACGCAGTTCTCCTGTATAAAGAGAATGGGCATCTCTGGGCACATCTGCACTGGTCATTTATGTCAATGTGGGATTGAATCAGTTTACGGGCATCTACAAAATGTATGCAGGCAGATCCGATTTAAACCAGGGAAAGCCATTTAATGTGGCTGCATCCCGGGTTAAAAAATAGTGGGAAAGTCTGAATCCAGCATTGGATTGTGCTCCTTGGTTTTTTTTTTTAATTAATTGTATGGTTTCCATATGGAACAATAATAAAAAATGAAATACAGTTCGAACTAATAATCCAGTAGTTTAATTTTGGACGGTTTTTGTCTAGGAAATGAATAAACATTGTGACATTCTGGGGCCATCTCTACTGACCAATTAATTTAGTTTTAAACTGCTATTGAAGAAAGTTCTTTCACTGTGCAAATAATTTCATAAGGACTGCTGGAACCAGTTTGAGGCCCAGTTGGTGATTTTATAAACCATTGAGTATCAATATGCATTAAGGGCTTTTTTTCATGTTCTTTGTGAAAGTTTGTTGTTACTGAGGTTTAAAAGCGCATTAAATGGTCAGTGTAGAAGGTCATTAACAACTCTCTGTTGATATCTCTCTTATGAAGCTGGTTGGAATTTTTCTTATATGTATTTTCAATGTTAGAAAAAGAAGAGGTGGTTCTACACATACACTATTGTCAAGTTTGAAATGAATTAAAACAAATGGGTTATGCTGTCCAGGGCCTACTCAATCCTTCCAGGAACCGATTTAGGGCGGGGGTGGTGACACAGTATCCACTGATTGCGGATCAAACTGAATCCAGGAACCACAATATCCACAGCTCGACAGTTGCCGGAAATTGCAGTATTTTTAAAACTAGTTGGATTTTATGTGACATTATGTGACAAGATTTATTTATTTATTTACGATATTTCTACCCCGCATTTCTCAAACCCAAAGGTGACTCAAGGCGGCTTTATAACATAGGCAGCTATTTGATGCCATTAAAACAATGTAAAAATTACAATAAACATATAAAATAGAATTATAAAATACATACATTAAAACCTTTAAAATATATAAAACAACTATTACCTCGCTGTCCAAAAACATTGTCTAAGCCGTTCCAGTATTCGATTTCACAGATAAACACATATCTATTGCACTAGGTTCCCAAAGCCTTGTTCAAAAGCCATTTTTTCACTTTTCTGCGGAAGGTCAGGAGGGAAGGGGCTGATCTAATATCCCTAAGGAGGGAGTTCCACAGCTGAGGGGCCACCACTGAGAAGGCCCTGTCTCTCGTCCCTGCCAGTTGTGCCTGTGAAGAAGGCAGGACTTAGAGCAGGGCCTCTCCAGATGATCATGAACTCCTAAATGGTTCATAGGGAGAGATATGTTCGGACAGGTAAGCTGGCCCAGAACCGTTTGGGGCTTTATAGGCTAAAGCCAGCACTTTGAATTGTGCTTGGTAGCAAACCAGTAGCAAACATTTGAAGATAAAAAAATCTGCTCCTGGTTTGAAAGTGTTATTTCCTGTTTCATTGTGTGGTATTTACTTTGAAGGTAGTTGTTCTCCTCCAAAAACTTTTTTTGTGTGGCTGCCACAAACTATGTGGAATTGGTTGAGACTCTAAGATATTCAATTAAAAACTATAGCAAAATGCGTTGCAGGCTGTCCTGCAGAAACAAAGTTTTTGCAGTTTAATAAACTTTTCCCATGTTTTTATGATAGGGCTAATTAGAAAATGTTATTTATAACCCAGAAACAAAAATCATGTTACATAGTGCAATAAGCAATGGAGGCGTATTTTATTGTATTGATATTTTTAGTGGATTTTAAATTGTTTTTACCAATTTTGAAAAAGGTGGAATAAAGTGTAAAAAGTGTAGACTAGTTTCATTGTACAAGAATATGTCACACTTCAAGATTGCCATGATTGTAACGTGAAATTTGTTTAGCTTGAAATAGTATTAATGATTGACTGAATTAAGCTGAGATTTAGTAAAAAAAAAAGATTTTGATTCACCTGCTATCGATTTCAAGCCTCTTGTTATTCTTACTAATTCATTTTTATTTTGTTTTAGAAATTGCAGAAAATCTAGAGTATACCTGGACCAAGATCTCCTGACGTTTTCCTGAAGAGTGGAGTTTTTTTCTTGAGGCTTGCACCTCAGTCTCCAAAGGAAAAATAGCAGTGAGGAAGAAAGTATAAAGGTTAATGTTTTCATCCACCCGGACAAAGGAGAATGGGGACCCTACACCCAAAAGAATGAAGACTCGACAGAATAAAGACTCTGTAAGTGAAATGTGCTCAAAATGGGGGTGGAAGGGTGGGAGAGTGATGTTGCTGAGCACTAATGGAGAAAAGCCTGGACCTGTAAAGAAGATTTTGGAGGATTTGAGGTTTTGCTTGAAGGGTGTAAATAAAGTTGTGGCTCTGCATTTTCAGATTTTATTTTTGTGAATTTGATTAAAAATGTTATTTCTAGAAATCTCTAGGTCCTTCAGTATGACTCTGTGGTCCACTGCCTCCAGTCATGCTGAAGAACCTAGAGATTTCTACAGAAAATACCTCTTTAGAATCTCTAGGTCCTTCAGTGTGAACTACTGCTTCCAGAAAACATTGATCACAGATTCATGCTAGAAAATCTACAAATTTCTAGAGAGATGTTCCCTTGGGTGAAAAAAACCCCACCACTTTCCTTTTCGCTTTCATGGGGGTCCTATGTCCCTAACTAGTAAATGTTCAGTTTTTATACCTATTTTATATACCTATGTATCTGGGGTCACATAAAAATTTCTAGTACCAAAAGTGGCCTTGAGCAGAAAAGTTTAAGAAGTATTGCTTTAGAGCAGTGGTTCTCAACCTGTGGGTCTCCAGATGTTTTGCCTTCAACTCTCAGAAATCCCAGCCAGTTTACCAGCTGGGATTTCTGGGAGTTACAGTATAGGCCAAAACACCTGGGGACCCACACGTTGAAAAGAGAGTGAAGTAGCTTTTAAAGTATAGGTAGGTAGCCCTCTGTATCCACAGATTCTGCATCCACAAATTCCACTATCCTTAGCTTGATGGAAAACCCCATCATTCATTAAGTTTTATTTGGCTTTGTAATTGATAAACCTGAACTTGAAATTGTTTTAGACTCTGGAGATTACCACTTAATTGCTAAGTTGTACAAATTGTTAACATTTGAAATGGAGGAGGAACAGGTGAAAGAATGCATGGTTAAATGGGCACAAATACAAATGGAATCACGGGAAAGGTTCTGGACCAAGATTTTGAAATTTACATTGAGTAATGACTTGAAAGAAAATTTGTATAAGATGCTGTACAGATGGTATCTGACATCAGAAATTATTGCTAATATGAACAAAATAGTTCTAGTGGTTGTTGGAAATGTGGGGAAAGGTCGTGTGAAAGGGCCCAGAAATACTGGCACAAATACATATGATTTTAGTAGAAATTGATAAAGCTAAATTTGAAATGAAACCTGAACTCTTATCTGCTTGGGATGTTAGATGATCAACTCGATAGAAAATATGGAAGGTTATTGCTATACATGACAATGGCAGCAAGAATTATCTATGCTCAAAAATGGAAAGACACAACGATTCCGACACAAGATGATTTGCTTATGAAAATAAGTGAATTTGAAGAAATAAATTTACTATATTAAGGAGAGATTAAAGATCAAAAGAAGGGTTCTAGAGATGGTGATCAGGATAATGCTGCTGCAAGTCATGGAAAAATATTGCTACTTGAAAAATTAAGATCTTTAGTCTTAATTAGAGAGAGACTTTAAGAAGGACTGTGGCCAATTCATTGTGTTCTTCCCACAAAGATAGGGTCAAACCTCCATTGCTGTGGGGAAAAGATGAATACTGGTTCTTTTTCATTTAATGGGTGTAGACAACTGAGAGAATATAACCACCAGACAGAGAACGCAAAGTCCTTAGATTAGATAATTAATGTAGACTGTATGTAGTTAATGATCGAATGTAGCAGTAGTAATATGTTTTCTTTTATCCTAGAAAAAAGCATTTTACCTTTTTTTTCCTTTTGTTTGTTTTTTTGTACATTAGCATATAGGGTTTGTATTATTTTGATTATATATATATATATATATATATATATATATATATATATATAGAGAGAGAGAGAGAGAGAGAGAGAGAGAGAGAGGAATCATAGGGTTGCTGTAAGTTTTTCGGGGTGTATGGCCATGTTCCAGAAGCATTCTCTCCTGGAATATGGTCATACAGCCCAAAAAACTTACAGCAACCCAGTGATTCCAGCCATGAGAGCCTTCAACAACACAAAGGAATCATACTTGCAGATGCACAAAAAAGTTGCAGAAAAACTGAAACTGATCATTTTGTATGCAATTACTTCCTCTGAAGATGTCAATGCGGAGTGGTCGGAAGAAGGAGACTCCAGGGCCCCGAGAGGAGCTCAGGACACGGGGTCGAGCTTCTCCAGGTGGTGTCAGTACCTCTAGCAGTGATGGCAAAGCTGAGAAATCCCGACAAACTACCAAGGTATTTCACTTGTTCACTAATATTCTTTCACCTCCAGAAGCAGTGAAAAAAATTATAGCATGTATGTGTGTGTGCTTTGAAGTCACCAGTTGACTTATGGCAACCCCATTAATTTTACAAGGTTTTCTTAACTAAGTAATATTCAAAAGTCATTTTGCCCGTTCCTTCCTCTGAAACAGAGTCTGCAGCACCTGCTGTTCATTGGACTCTTTCATCCAAGTACTAATCAGGGTTGACCCTGCTTAGCATCCAAGAGCAGATGGGATCTCATACATTTATGGTATTTAGGCAATATAGTAATATAAGAGGCGGGGAAATTTCAAAGCTGGCAGTTTTAGGCAATTTCCAGCTTTCAGGAGGTGGCACTACCACCGTTACCCAGAACTTCAAATGATATTCTGGGAACTTTGGGGGGGGGGGGGGAGTTGCTTTCCCTCCTTTCCAAGGCGGCAGAGAAAACTGCTAAAAGGGTAGATTGTGCATCTCGGAGTAATTATTTTGGTTTTTAAAACTCACATTCAATTATACAGTTTATTTAGGCAGCTATTTTTCATGCTGTTTATCCCCAACTGCTCTTGCTTCTTCATCATTTGGATGATGCCTGAAATCAGAAATCATGTAGGGAGTGGGAAAGCATTATTTTGTATTCTAGCTAGTCATATTTTACTACTTGATGACAACTAGAAAATTGAGCTGAAATTGCTACTACATTTCTGGGTAGGCCACAATTCAAATAGGATGAGGGATACTTGGCTCAGGAATACTACATGTGAAAAGGACCTTGGGATTTTTGTTGATCATAAGTTGAACGTGATACTACAGCAAAGAAGGCAAAAGCTGTTTTAGCATTCATTAATAGAATCATAGTTTCTAAGTCAAGGGAAGTAACGTATAGGTGGTTTGTTTGTGTGAATGTGCTTTCAAGTGGCCTGTCGACGTGCAGCAACCTCATAAATTTTACAGGGTTTTCTTAGCCAATTAGGTGGTTTTGCCAGTTCCTTCCTCTGAAATAATAATTGTAGCAGTGCAATACTGACAATAAATTATTGTGATTGATATATGGACAGGCCTGGGACTATGATTTTAATTTGCGTGATTTTAACTGTTGTTTTAATAATTGATCTTTTAATTATTTGGATTTTACTGTATTTGTTTATTTTCAGATTGATATGTGTTGGCATCAAATCGTTGCCTGTTGTAAGGCCGCCCTGAGTCCCCTAAGGGGTGAGAAGGGTGGGGTACAAATGTGGAAAATAAATAATTATAGCTATCAGCACCTTATATTGGTTGACAATCACCCATCCAAGTGCCAATCAGACCTAACTCTGTTGAGCTTCCATGATCAAACAGAATCTGGTGTCTTCGGGTTATTTAAGCCAGCAAATAATAGTCCCACTATATTCTGCACCGGTCAACCTCATCTAGAGTACAGTGTTCATATCTAGGTGCCTCAATTCCGGACAAGTTGGAGCAAATTCAGAAAAGGGGTAGCTAGAATGATAAAAGAGATATGGAGAACACAACATATGAAGAAAGGTTCAAGGAGCTGGACATGGTGAAGAGAAGACTGAGGGGTCACAAGATTGCACTCTGTCAAAATCCCAAGGGCTGTCCCAGAGAAGATAGGGTAGGCTTGTTCTCCGCTGTCCCAGAGGGTAAGACCAGGTTTAATGTTTTGAAGTTACATGACAGTAGGTTTCAGTTGGATATTAGAAGGAACTTCTTGACTGTGAGAGCAGTTCAGCAATTGCCCAGAGAAGTGGTGGGCTCGCCTTCTACCTTGATATCTTCAAAGATGGGCTGGACTGCTCTCTCCTGGGGATGCTTTGATTGAAGATCTTGCATTGAGCAGGGAATAGGACTTGATAGCTCATGAGGCTGCTTTCAATTCTATGATTCTTTCCCAAGCTTTAATTATCTTACATTTCACTTGATAAGAATATGATGGAAAACTGATTAGACAGGACTCTGATTAACTACCTCTTCTTGACACCTGTCTTCCTTTCTGTGCCTTGTAGAAAGGTCGTGTGGAAGAATCAATGGCCCCTAAAGGAAGCAAACAAAGCCGACCAGAAGAAATTTCAGAGAGTGAAGGCGAGGACACCAATGCCCCAAAGAAAACTAAAACAGAGGTGGGTTTTTCATGGCCATGCTCCTTCTCCCCCAAATCTGTTCAGATTTGTTGTCCCCCCTCCTCTGCCCATCATGCACCTCTTGACATTTTCCCTGTCTTTTCTATTCTCGTCTAGCATGATGCTCAGCTATGCTCCCAAGCTGTGTTCTGATTATGGCTTCACTTGGGGACATTGTCAAATCAGAATGGCCATTGAGGGTTCTTCTACAAAGAAAGTGGCCCTCTGATCCCTGGCAATCCTGGGGTTGCTTTTCGTCATAGTTCCAGGGCTTTCCTCTAAGGGTGGTGGAGGGGGGGTTGTTCCCATGTTGCTGAAAGGCTGTCTACTTATTGTTTCTTCCAAACAGGAGCTGCCAAGACCTCAATCTCCCTCAGATGTGGACAGTCTAGATGGCCATAGCTTCAATGATGAGACAAGCAGTGACCCCCGTGACATTGACCAGGATAACAGGAGCACCTCCCCCAGTGTCTACAGTCCTGGGAGTGTGGAGAATGATTCTGACTCCTCCTCTGTGCTTTCACAAGGGCCATCTCGCTCTTACCATCACCCCCCACTTTTCCCTCAGAGTCCCTCCCCTGCTCCCCTGACAGAGGGCCTGGCCCGTCCTCCAGAACCAAGCTTTGGCATACCAGGGGACGTTCATCCTCAGGGCCCAGCAAGTGGCTACCAGTCTCAGCTTGAAGCCCAGGCCTCAAGGATTTTCCAGGCCCAAGCCCCACCAGCAGCTCCCCCTCCCTCCACCAACTCTTCCTCCTCCCCCTCCTCTTCCTCCTCTTCCTCCTCGTCTTCCTCCTCCAGTACCCATGCTTCCCTCTACCCTAATGCTAATGTGGTCCAGATGGGGCCCAAAGCTGTGGGTGCAGGAGCAGGGCTTCCTGTGCCAGGTGGCCGTGAGCAGTCACTCAGCACCAAGCACAACCCGCCCCCGACAACACCGATATCCCTCGCCTCTGTGGCCGGCGGCTTGCCCCCTCAGAAAACAACTCCAAACAATTCCCCATCCATACCTCCTCCATCAGCTGCCACTTTCCCACATGTGTTATCCAACTTGCCTCCCCCACCAGCTCTCCGCCCCCTTAATAATATAGCGGCCAGTGCCAACTCTCCTGGTATGGTGGGGCCAGTGATGAGTGGGCACCTTCCATCACCTCATGGGATGGGGCAGGATAAGTCCCCTATCCCTTCCCGCTACCCCTATGCCCCGCCTCCCCCGCCACCCCCACCCAGCTGTTCCGCTCAGTACACCCTCCCTCCCCCTTCCCAGGCATTGCCCAGTTACAACTCATCTTATGGTCACTCCTTTCCTCCACCCAGCAGCCTCTCCGTCTCCAGCCAGCCGCCCAAATACACGCAGCCCTCTATGCCTTCGCAGCCTGTGTGGAGCCAGGGCCCTCCACCTTACAGTCGCCCCACAGGGAACTCCAGTTCCCACCCTCCTCCCCCTCCCCCTCCTCCTCCTCCTCCTCCCCCCTTTCCTGGTCAAGCCATTCACCACCAGCAACAGCAGCAACACCATCACAACCATGGCAACAGCACCGGGCTCCCTCCCACAGCAGCTGCATCTGCTGCTGCAGCTGCATCTGCCACACCCCAGGCATCTGGAGGCTATTCCCAACCACTGGAACAGGGCCCACACCATCCTTCCCATGCTGCCTATGGGCTTCGACTATACCCACCCCACGGTCATTCCACTTACAGCCAGGCCCCTTCAGCTTCTTCCTCCTCTTCCTCTTCTTCYTCCTCCTCCTCCTCCTCTTCCTCCTCTTCCTCCTCTCAAGGACCATATCCTGGGGTCTGCAGCCACCCACAAGGGCAAAACAGTGCCACCTATGCCTTTCCTCCTCCCCCTCCCCCTTCACCTGCACATGGGGCTGGGCCCCCAGTCACTTCTGCTTCTGTTACCCTCTCCACTGTAATTACTACAATGGCTTCCTCCTCCTCTACAGCCCCCTACAAGACAGTCTCCCCTCCAGTGGGTCCCCCTGCTGTCGCCTCCTACGGAAAGCGAACAGCTTCACCTTCTCCCAGCTTTCAGCCCCCCACCCCCTACAAGCCTGGCTCCCCGCCCTCCTCCTCCACATCCTCATTCCGAGCAGCCACACCGCCAGGATACCGCCTCACTTCTTCCCCAGTGGCCAGTGGCTACAAGGCTCCCTCACCAACCCCGCTTGGCCCATCGACCTCTGGCAGCATGGCTGCCCCTCCTCCCCCACCTTTGCCTCCACTGCCCCTCACTGCCGCACAGATCAAGCAAGAGCCTGCTGAGGAGTATGAGCCCCCAGAAAGCCCAATGCCCCCAGTCCGGAGTCCTTCGCCGGCCCCCAAAGTGGTGGATGTACCAAGTCATGCCAGCCAGTCAGCCAGGTGAGAAAAGAGAGATGGGTGGGCAGGGGAAGGGTGGGCAGCCTAAAGGAGTGCGCATGGAGATGCTAAGGACACAGGACAAGGGAGAAAAAAGCAGTGGCATCAAGCCTGTCTCACCAACCTGAGCTTGTCCCACCAGTCACACACAGAAGCTTGTGGAATGCTCGTCATTGCTGCTGTTACCAACAAACGTAGGTGGTAGTATGGGTTGCTCATGGTACATTTTATATTGAGAAAATTGCAGTATATATGATTTTTTATTGTGGCCTGCTGTGAAAGTAGATACTCTTGTTCTCCTTTCCCCTTCGTAAGTGGAGACTCCTTTTTTATCTTTCGCTGATTGCCAAACAGCGGTATGTTTCAGTTTTCCCAAGCCAGGTATGCTGCCTGTTCTGCACCTTTGTGTCATACTTAGGAAGCACAGGGTCATGCCATCAACAGGAGTTTTGAGTCCTCCTTCACCTTGAGCTTTTGTTTGCTCCTATACTCATTCAGTGCTATCACACTGCATCATACAGAGCCTGGGCAGAGGCAGAGATTTTGTCTTGCTTAGATATGGAGATTGTTCCTGAATCCACAGTTTGGATATGATTCTGTGGGAGCACGGACCAGTCCACAGAGAAAAATAATTAAGTTTCCTGAAAAAAAATAGCTTTGTCTTTGTGTGTCTATGTGTATACACACACGCACATATACAGGGGGCGGGATGTTTTATTCACTCATGGGTGCAAAGATATACAATCACGTCTTTGCTCATGGACAGCAATTTTGTGGCAGCAATATCCCTAAAAAGTAAGTTTTTGCTAAAGGTTTTATGTAAGGTAAAAATAATTGCTTGGTGCATGCCATTTCCCTCAGAGCTTTTGCAGTCATTCCAGCAGAATGCTGGAAAGTAACGGGAAATTCTATTAGTGACTAAAATAATACCTATATTTTGGGTAGAATAGCATTTACATTTTTCCTTATATCTTTGTTAATCAAAAGACAGTAGAAACATAGTTTTAATTTAATTAAAACTTAAAAGAACATTAGAAAATAGCCCTGAATATCTTTGAGGGCCCAGATCTCTTATAGGCCTCCCTATGTGGCTTATTCAACAACCTGGATTAATGTTGTTGCATAAGGTTTCTATCAGACCAAGCAGAAAAGCTTTGAATGCTCTCTCTACAGTCTGTCCTCCTCCTGGGCCATTCAGTGCAAAAGAAAAAAAATGTGTCCATTCAATTAGTTTGCTAATTCAACCCAATTATTTTCACTTTTTTTGGGGAGAATTTTTGTTCCCTTGGATCACAACTTTGTTTTAGATGGTTTAGTGTAGATTGAAGAAGGGTTGTAGAGCAGAAAGAGGGAGAAAGTAATCTCCAGATGGCACTGTTGAAATGAAAAAAATATTTTGGTCACCAGGGTGGAATTTGTTGTAGGTGCCAATCAGTTGTGATGCTTAAAACAAATGTGTGGTTTCAGAATGCTTAAATTCTACCTGCTTTGAGTCTCCTTTGAGAGAGATAGAGCGGGATATAAATAAATATAACAACAACAACAACAACAACAACAACAGATGTATTTATTTTGCATTAAGTTCTGTTTGGTGGATTTCCAGTAAAAATATCAGATCCAGAACACACCTCAATTACATGCTGTAGATTTGAAGTATGATTACTTGTGTATTAGGAGCAAGGCTACAGTTGTATGCCTGTTATCACTTCTGTTCTTTTGCTGATCTTTACACTTTATTTAGAAACTCATGTCTTAGTTCTTATTTTCCCAGGTTCAACAAACATCTGGATCGTGGCTTCAACTCATGCTCACGGACTGATCTCTACTTTGTGCCCTTGGATGGTTCAAAACTTGCCAAGAAACGGGCAGACCTGATAGAGAAGGTGCGCAGAGAAGCAGAACAGAAAGCCCGGGAAGAGAAGGAGCGTGAAAGAGAGAGAGAACGAGAAAAGGAGCGGGAGAGGGAGAAAGAAAGAGAACTGGAAAGAAGTGTGGTAAGTACCAGAGGTGCCTTATTTATTTATTTATTTTTTATTTATTTATTTATTTATTTATTTATTTATTTATTTATTTATTTACAACATTTATATTTTGCCTTTCTCACCCCAAAGGGGACTCAGGGCAGATCACACACATACACGACAAACATTCAATACCATTAAACAGACAGGACAGACAGCAGATAGAGGTGCATGTTGGCATTTTTCCCAACTTCAGTGTCCTGGAGATTGTGCTCAATTCCAGCCAGAGAGGGGTGCAGTTGCTCCATCCTTTATGACAAAGAGCCCTTGATCACATGTTTCCTCCTTTCCTTGATTGCCGGCATTTTCGGTTACTTTGTTTTTATGGTGCCGCAAAGTACCTCCTGCTTAAGCAGTACCTAATTTCTCCATTCACAGCTCACAGCTGTTTCTGAACTGCTTAGGTGGACAGTGAGCTGGACTGAAGGTTGGGTGCTCACCCTGACCTGGGCTTTGAACTTTGATTGGTGTGATCTATTTGTGCTGGTGATTAACTAGCTATCTATTTGTGCTGGTGATTAACCAGCTATGGCCCTTAGAGTGCATCTACGCTGTAGAAATAATGCAATTTGCTGTCCCTTCAGCTGCCCTGGCTCAATACGATGGAATTATGGGAATCGCATTTTTTATAAAGTCTTTCGTCTTCTCTGCCAAAGAGGGCTGATGCCTTACCACACTACAACTCCCAGGACTCCGTAGCATGGAACCATGACATGTAAAGTGGTGTCTATAGTGTAGATGTACCGTACCCTCGGAGCAGGAGCGGGAAGCGCCGGTATCGGAGCGGCAGTATCGGAAGGGGATCGCTCTTCTCCCCGGGGGCCCCGCCTTCATGGCGGCGTCCGCGGTGCCCTCCGCTGTGCTCTCAGCACCCGAGGGAGCAGGGCGGGCCGGAGCCTCTGGCTGCGGGATGGTAGGCAGCAGCACGGATCCCGGTATCGGGGCGGTCTCCGCCGCGATCGAGAGCGGCATCGGCTCCTGAGCCCGAGTGATGGGCGGGGGCGAGAGGAGCGGCAGCTCTGAAGTGGGCGGTGCTTGGGATGCCGGCTCCGAGACCGGCGCATGCACGGCTCGAGGAGTCGAAGTCGCGACCGCCGCAAAGGAGATGGGGGCCTGTTGCCCAAGAGGCCTTCCTTCCATTTGGCCACTAGGAGTCGAGAGCGGCGCGGTCTCGCGGTCGGAGCCCAGGGGCCTTCCCGCTCTTTCTAACGGGCTCTTGCCTAGGAGAGAGGCCTGAGCGCCATCTTGAGAGGCCTTAGATTTGGGCCTTTTGGTCTTCTTCTTTGCCGCGGCCGCGGCCAGCGAAGGTAAGTCTTGGGGCTCCATTGCTCGCCCTGGAGTGACAGGCGGTAGCAAGGCCCTCTCGTAGAGGGCCGCTCGAAGCCTCGAGACCCTGTTCTTCCTCGTTTGAGGGGTGAACGAGGAGCAGATAGCGCACGCCTGGGTCAAATGGGCCTCGCCCAAACAAGTGAGGCAAAGGGAGTGCCCGTCCGTGTCCGGCAAGATGTTTGGACACTTAATGCACTTCTTAAAAGAAGTAGTAGCCATGGGTTGTGGCTTTGAGAATAGTCGGGAGCCGGTCCGGGGTCAGAGTACCTTGATCAGTCCAACAGAGCGTCAAAACAGAGGGGCTAAGCAGAAGAATCGTTGAAAAATCAGTCCAAGTCAATCTGTCCGTAAATCAGTCAAAGAAATTTGAGAAGATCGAAGATCGAAGAAGGTTCTCTCAGCTATGCACATGCGAGCGGATTAAGAGAACTGTTGGCTAGTCCCGCCTTTGGGATATATATACTCGGGAGGAGGGGGGGCGGGCCTAGCTGGGGCTAAGATGTTCTTTTACTTTCTAGAAGGTTCCGGAAGTTGCACTGCGCAAGCGCAAGAATACCAAATGTACAAATTCACAGGTGACTACTCAGGAAACTACAGTTACAGGTAAGCAATTTATAATTATCAGAACCTCCCATACAGTTCCTGGTTGTTTAAAAGCTTAACTAAAGTAGTTTAAACAATTATCTCTGCCAGGCATGTGGAAGCGCTTCTGTCAAATGGGAGTAAGTTCTGGACCCCATTAACTCAGGCCCTGTCCTGGGATGAAGTGGTTTTTTCTTGTGTATGTTGGTGTTCAGATGCCCTCACTGAATCCCTCTCCTCTCTTGGCTCTTTTGCAGAAGGTGGCACAAGAAGGGCGAGCGGTGGAATGCCCATCTCTTGGCCCCGTCCCTCACCGCCCTTCCTTTGAGCAGGGCAGTGCTGTGGCTACTGTCCCACCATATCTGGGCCCTGACACCCCGGCTCTTCGTACCCTCAGCGAGTATGCCCGGCCCCATGTGATGTCTCCCAGCAACCGCAACCACCCCTTCTATGTGCCGCTGGGTGCTGTTGACCCAGGACTGCTGGGTTACAACATGCCAGCCATCTACAGCAGTGACCCAGCCACACGGGAGAGAGAGCTGAGAGAGCGAGAGGCCCGTGAGCGAGACCTTAGGGACCGAGACCTGCGGGAGCGCCTTAAGCCTGGATTTGAGGTGAAGCCAGCTGAGTTGGAGCAACTCCACGCTGTCCCTGGCGCTGCCATGGATCCTTTCCCACGTCACGGGGGACTGGCTCTGCAGGCAGGCCCTGGTCTGCACCCTGCCTTCCCCTTTCATCCAGGGCTGGGCCACCTGGAGAGGGAGCGGCTAGCGCTGGCTGCCGGCCCAGCCTTGCGCCCTGACATGTCCTATGCTGAGCGCTTAGCGGCCGAGCGGCAGCATGCTGAGAGAGTGGCTGCTCTGAGCAATGACCCTTTGGCTCGGCTGCAGATGCTCAACGTGACTCCTCACCATCACCAGCACTCCCATATCCACTCACACCTCCACCTCCACCAGCAGGACGCCATCCATGCAGGTGAGGAGCAATAGCACTCTGGAACCCCTGCACTTTTCTAGCTTCATTCTTGTTAAAGTGAAAATGCTAGAGCTGTAGTACTTAAGACTGGGTCTGTTTTTGAGCATGTGTGTGTATGACAGAGAGTGAATGGCAAAGGAAGCCAGTGTGTCAGGGAGAGATCCAGTGGAGGACCACTCACAACGCTATACTAAATACAGGCAGATTTTGCACAAAGAGAAGCTTTCAATCGTTGAACACACACCTCTTGCTGTTGTGGTACTTTTCAAATAAGGATTTAGTATTTCAACAACAGGCAAGCCTCTACTGCTCCTACTGGGTTGGAAGTGTTAATTACGGTAATTATTAGTATAATTGTGTAATTAATATTGATGCATTTATTAATTATGTAGTTAACTGGAATCGTGGAATCATAGCATTCGAAGTGACCTCATTTGCTATCAATGCCACTTAATGCAGGATCTCTAACTAAAGCAGCCCCAGCAGGGAACTGTCCAGCCGCCTTTTGAAGATGTCCAGAGATGGAGAGTCCACCAGCTCTCTAGACCAGTGGTTCTCAATTTGTGGGTCCCCAGATGTTTTGGCCTACAACTCTCAGAAATCCCAGCCAGTTTACCAACTGTTAGGATTTCTGGGAGTTGAAGGCCAAAACACCTGGAGACCCACAGGTTGAGAAACACTGCTCTAGACAATTGTTTCTTATTGTCAAGAATTTCCTTCTAATGTTCCCTCCTGTCATTTCAAACCATTGGAATTGGTCCTACTGTTTGGGATAGCAGAGAACAAGCCTGCCCCTTCCTGTCTTGAGCAGCCCCTGGGGTATTTAAAGAGTTCAATCATGCCCCCTCTTAGTCTTCTCTTCACCAAATGAATATACCTAATATCTTATATGTTTTGTTCTCTATGCTTCTTAACATCCTTGTTGTCCTTGTCTGAATCTGCTTGCATGTCTAGATCCTTCTTAAAATGTGATGCACAGAACTGAACACAGTACACCTTATGAGTTCTGGCCACAGAAAAGTTTGGGACTGTTGCTTGCTTTGTCTTAGAAATTACGATTCTATTAATGCAGATTAAAGTTGCATTCAGTAGCTTTGCTGAAGCATTACACTGCTATTTCATATTCAGTTTATGATCAATAATAATTTCAAGGTCCTTTTCATGTGTAGTACTTCTAAGCCTTGTATTTAGGTTTTGTGGCCTAAATGCAGAAGTTTGCATTTCTCTCTTCTGAATTTCATTTTAGTATTTTCTGCTCAGTATTCTAGTTTATGAAGATCCTTTAGAATTCTGCTTCGGTCTTCCAGTGTGTTAGCCACTCTTCCCAGTTTTGGGTCATCTTCAAACTTAATAAAGGGCTTCCTCCATTCCAACATTTAAGTCATTGATAAAAAATATTAAATATCTCATTCCAGTTTGAAGTTCAGCTGTTGATTATAACTCTGGGCACAGATCTTCAACCAATTATGGATCAATCTGACAGTGATTCTGTCTATTCCATATTTAATCACTTTGCTAATCAAAATATCATGGGAGACCTTATTAAACACTTTGATAAAATCTAGCTAAATACCATCCATGGCATTTCCACCATCTATTAAACTAGTAACTCCATCAGAAAAAGATAGAAGGTGAGTGTAGCAAGTTTTGTTCTTGACAAGCCCACATTGACTCCTCTGGATCATTGCATTGTCACTTGCTGGCAAAGTATCCTTTCTAAAAAAAATCTCGGTACTGAGGTCAACCTGACTAGTTTGTACTTTCTGGGATCTTTTTTGCTTTTTTGAAGAAAGGGATAATGGGATACCTCACCCGTCCTCCAATATTTCCCAAAAATGGGATGCAGTTCATCTGGTCCTGCAGATATGAACCCCGTTAACTTGGTGATTTTTAACTCCATTACAATCTTGATTTGCAGTCAAGATTGATTTGCTGTGGATGACCTTTAGCTTGATTTGCAATCAAGATTGACAAGGAGTTAGTCAGAAATGATGTAATTAATTAATTAACTCATTATTCTGTCAATGGTTAACTCATTATAGGTCAGATTGCAAATTAAAAATTGAATTCTGATTAGTTGAAGTTCATGTCTCTTTTTTGTCTTTCTGGGCAATTTTGTACCACCCCCAACCCATTCCATCAGGTCACGGTAAAAAAATCTGTTGAGGTGAGGAGAAAAAATGCATTCTGCATTTAAATAAATCAGACATAGTTGTTCACTAGATTTTTCATCAAGAAATACTGTCAGAATCCTATTTGTATCTTACTCATACACAAGTTCCCCTCTGCAAACATGTGATCATGTTATCACAACATGGATTGCCTGCATTCAATTCAAAGTTGCAGACTTGGAGTTGTGCACACAGAGGTATTTTAACCCTAGAGGTGTGCATCCCTTTTTCATGGGAAAATTTTAGCTGTGTTTTAAACTTTTGTTCCTTATAGCTGAATCCTTTTGTAAGCTGCATCTAGCCCCACTCTTGAAGAATGAGGCATATACATTAGTAAAATGAACAATTTCTTACAGCATTTTTATGCGTTCTTATTCTTTAGTGACCATGACCAATCAATTGCTCCATGGCTACCTGAATAGGAGTATCCTACAGACTGTGAGCAGCTGCCAAGAAAATCTCAAGATATACCTTTGTGAAGTGGCTTTTTATGTGTTGCCCTAAAGGATTATGATTGTGGAATACTTGGTAGCCCACCGGGATGTCTTTGCAAAATGTTTTCAGGATGAAATTGATAGCATCTTCCAGAAATCTGATTCTGCTGTGGTGGCAGTCTCAAAAATGTCCAGAGCCCTGCCCAGCCAAGTTTTATTGAACACGTTTTAGTTTGTATGGTCCACAGAAAGAAAGTTATTGATACTCCCTTCCAGTAGAGAGCTGTAGAAAGTTGCCTGAAAGAGGTGTCAGTAAGATCTCTGAAGACACTCTCCCTGGATTAAGAAGTCTTGGCAAATACCAGATAAATTTATGGACAAGGTTCTTAAACAGGTTCTCATCAGTGTGTTGTAGGCACACTTGAATGGCAGAGGTTTTCTTTGTGAATTTCAATCAGGGCATCACATTTTTGTTACTGAAACTATCTTTGTTACTCAGTGCTGAGAGATTGATTGTGATACTCTTTTATCCCTCAACAAATTAAAACGGTGGTGGTTCTTATGGTTCCTTCCAATTGTGTGATTCTGTGGTACCATAAAAATATGACTTTCAGATGGGGAACACTGCTTTATAGTACTTGGAGCAGAAGTGGCCCTCGTGGTGCAGAATACCTTTTGCCCACTTTTATTAGCTAGGGATGATAAGCAGTTCATTTCCAAGCCCAACTCAAGTTTCTAGGGTTTATGTAGCTAGCCTTTCATGAGAGGCCCAACATCCTACAGCTGTTTCCAAACTTTGGTCCTCCAGGTGTTTTGGATTTCAACTCCCAAAAATTCCAGGCAGTTTACCAGCTGTTAGGAATTGTGGGAGCTTAAGTCCCAAAGACCTGGAGAACCAAAGTTTCAGAACCACTGCCCTAAAGACACTAGATCCTGGTTGGTCTTGGAAACTATGCAGAATCAGCTCAAAGTAGGACCTGGATGAGAAACTGCTATTGAATACCAGGTCCTGATGGCCGTATTTCAGAGGATGGAACTGGCAAAACTACCTGATTATCCATTGCGTGAGAAAACCCTATGAAATTCATGGGGTTGTCATAAGAGTGGACAACTTAAAAGTGGCACAAAGCCTTTCCTAATCTCAAGGACTGCTTTTTCTCTGACAAATCTGCTTGACATCTGAGACCTTGATGTAAAGCAGATTTGCAGATGTTGCGAGGATGGCACTGAAAGAATGGCCCTTTTCTGTGCTACCTCACTGTCCAGCCCCACCCACAGTGTATGGCAAACTCTTCCCAGGAAAGCTCCCACAGTGCTAACCTTTATAATCTTTAAAGCACCAGGCAAGGACTTTCCCAAAGCTATTGAATAGTTTGTCTCAGCTTGAGTAGGTGCATTCATTATTTACTTCTGTACTGGGTCCTAGATGTTCTGTATCTGTGTGTACTGTGACCTTTTCAAGAAATCCTTGTAAAGTAATTTAATGAACAATGAACTTACATTTTGCTCCCTAAAGCCATTTCAGTGAGTACCGAACAAGCAGGAAATTGTCTACTATCTTTTTTTTTCTTGATGGTGTGGTTGAAGATTTTGGATTTCTGAACATTCTTTGATTTCTGATAACCACCTCCCATGGCTGATGCTTATATTAAATTTTGTAGTTCGGCTATATCATTATCTAAATTGCTTTGAGACTCCTTGTTGCATTGATGTAAAACATACAGATAACAAACTTTTTTTAAAAATCAGGAGAAATGTTTGCTCAAACATGTTAGAGGCTCTGCAGCAATTTTTTTAAAAAATCTGTTCTTTGTCTCATTTCAAAAGTTAACTTTAATTTCTACTTTCTGCAGCTTCTGCCGCTGTTCACCCTCTTATTGATCCACTGGCTACTGGGTCTCATCTCACCCGGATACCCTACCCAGCTGGTACCATCCCTAATCCACTCCTTCCTCACCCACTCCATGAAAATGAGGTGCTGCGCCACCAGCTTTTTGGTAAGAAATGCGGTGTGGTACGTAGGCTAAGAAGAAAGGGTTTGTCAGGATTTGGGGTCATTGAAGGTAATGGCCAAAGAGAAGGAAATTGTTAGCTTGAGATTCGGACTAGGAAAATAGATAGGAAAAGTAGGGAAGTGGAAGGGAGTCCAGGTGCAGAACAGCAAAGCAATAATGCATTACATAAGGACCTGGATGGGAAGCAAAGTGAGAGGCAAAGTTGTTTAGAAAAAATTTAACTATTTCTAAAGTAAGATTTTTTACTTGTTTTTTTCCCCTTATGTATCTTCAAATGATTTTCCATTTATGGTAATCTTAAGGTGAGCCTGTTGTGAGGCTTTCTTGGCAAGAGTTGTTCACAAAGGATTTCCTCTGAGGCTGAGAGAATGTAACTTACCCAAGATTACCTAGTGAGTTTTCATGGGCAAGTGAGGGTTCAAATCCTGGTATCCCAGAGTCTTACTCCCATACTCAAACCATTATAACATATTGGCTCTGTTTTTGCATTGTAATAAGGCACCTTGTACACTGCCATATAAAATCCAGATTATCTGCTTTGAACTAAGTAGTAAAAGCAGGGGGAAACTTCAGGCAGCATTTTTCATTCAGTTGTTTAGTAAGAGGGTAAAAACACTTGAGATCATTTTGAGAGGCACACAACAATTTATTTAATTAAATATGTGCATTGAAGCAAGTTAGTTCAACATTTTAAGTCTGTTTGTGTTATCAGGCCTGATGGCAGACAATTGCCAACCAGAAGAAAGCCAGTTAGACATCTTCAGGTCTGGGTTGAGGTATTGGGGTATGCTTTGTGTACTCTAAAGGAAAGGGGCAAGTGTAGGTGAGATGCATGGAGGACAGTGGCAGAGCATCTTTGTCTATTACCCTTAGGATGAAGATGGAGTTTTTGCAGTCCCTTCCCCTCCTTCCTCCTCGTTCTGATCTTCCCACAGATAGGATTCCCTCCTCTGTTCAGGGTACAGGAACCCTGCAGCTCCCCATCAATGTCTGACCTCTTTAGCTGGCTGCAGCCCCTTGTACAAATCGGTTGTGATTACTTGCTGTTGTTGTCTTTCTTTTCTTCTCCTTTGGCTGCAGCTGCCCCCTACAGAGACCTGCCTGGCTCGCTCTCTACACCAATGTCAGCAGCACACCAGCTCCAAGCCATGCATGCCCAGTCAGCAGAGCTGCAGCGTCTGGCCCTGGAGCAGCAGCAGTGGCTGCATGCCCACCACCCTCTGCATGGTGTGCCACTCCCCACCCAGGAGGATTACTACAGGTGTGCTTCTCATTGAGGGGTGGAAAGGACCCCTGTGTGGTGTTGCAGGGAAGAAAGTATGCACGTTTTCAGATTGCTTAAATATACGAGGAAAGAAAATAAGTGCTCTGGATAGTCTTGGGGTTCCCTGGGTGTTTATCAGGGCGGTTTGTGATCAAGAATGGTGACAAACTTCCTGGAGAGCTCTGATCTCACCATTATTAGTCTCTGTAGGATGCGCAGGACTGTGGGATGCATTCCAGACCATGTGATGTGTTACATGTATGAACTATGTCAGAGGACTGCAGCCTCTACAGCAGGCATGGGTAAACTTTGGCTGATAGGCTGTAAGGAATTGTGGGAGTTGAAGTCCAAAACACCTGGAGGGCCAGAGTTTGTCCATGCCAGCTGTACCGTGTCCTGGAACTACTTGACAGAACTAAAGTGGACAGTATTCCTTGGAAAACATTGTAGCACTGTTTCCAAGAACACAGTATTTTTTTTGGAGAGAGAGTCCCATCTGATAACTACTGGCTATTTACAGTATATGTAATCAGGTTTAACTCCTCCTAAAGCAGTGGTTCTCAGCCTGTGGGTGTTTTGGCCTTCATCTCCCAGAAATCCTAACAGCTGGTCAACTGACTGGGATTTCTGGGAGTTGTAAGCCAAAACACTTGGTGACCCACAGGTTGAGAACTACTGTCCTAAAGGAAGAAACCCATAACAGGGCACTATGACTACTTTGAAAGTGTGCAGAAAGGGATTGTCCAGCTGTAAGTGGGCGCTGATTTTCCTTGATTGTATCAACTTTCTGTGACCTTGTTGGCTTCTAGTTTGCTTCTGGACCCAGCTCAGGGAACTGTTTTTGTCCTTTAAAGCCCTAAATGGGCTTGTGTTTGCAGAGCTGTCTTTCATTATGTGAACTTAAAATAAGCCTGAAAGGCTCTTCTTCACAAGTTAGGGAGGTGGCTGCTAGGGACAGGATCTTTTTGGTTTTGGTATCTGCTCTCAGTCTCCGTCTCTCTCTCAGCAAGGCTGCTTATTGGGTGATGGTTGCTGACAGTTGGCATTCACATCCCCTTATACAAACCTGCCGGGTCCTGAGATCTTCAGGAGAGGCCCTTCTCTCTGTCCCACCTCCATCTCAACCTCAGTTGGTGGGAACGAGAGAGAGGGCCTTCTCTGTGGCTGCCCCTCAACACTGGAACTCCCTGCCCAGGAGAGCCAGAATGGCCCCCTCCTTGCTGTCCTTCTGGCGGCAGGCTAAAATCTTTATTTAGGCAGGCCTTTAAACATGAAGGTGTTTAAGAATCAATTCGGGGGTGCTGTGGTTTTTAACTTCGAATTTGTTTTAATTATTTTTAACTAGGATTTAAAAATACTATTTATATTTAATGCTGTTTTAATGTTTGTATATTTGAAATGGGCATGCTGATGCTTTTATGTTAAGCCGCTTTGAGTCCCCTTCGGGGAGATAAAGCAGGATATAAATAAATATTATAATAATAGTAATAATAATAATAACAGTTGCTATTAATGATGAAAGAGCTAAGACTGGGTACAGTTAAGCCTGGCAGTGGTCATTGCATTTATGGTCCAAGTAGGGCAGCATACCAGAGGCGCGGTGGGTTAAATCGCTGAGCTGCTGAACTTGCTGACCAAAAGGTCAGCAGTTTGAATCCGGGGAGCGGGGTGAGCTCCCGCTGTTAGCCCTAGCTTCTGCCAACCTAGCAGTTTGAAAACATGAAAATGTGAGTAGATTGATAGGTACCGCTTCAGTGAGAAGGTAACGGCGCTCCATGCAGTCATCTTGGCCACATGACCTAGGAGGACAACGCTGGCTTTTTGGCTTAGAAATGGAAAACGAGCACCAACCTCCAGAGTCGGACATGACTGGACTTAATGTCAAGGGGAAACCTTTACCTTTAGGACAGCAGGAAGGTTTCTCGCAGAAACTTCATTTTACAGAAATGAACCAAAATAGGGGTTACTGTGGCTTTTGTATGTTTTGCTAAGTGCCAGATAGGTTTTCCTTCTCCAGCACAGATCATAATTGTACAGTCCTGAGGTTCCTTGAGCACTCAGCCACCTGAAAAGACTGCTAAGCAATTTCATATGAAAATAACTCTTAATATTATGCCATTAGTTTTCAAAACTATACAAATTCGTTGTGTTCCATTAAATCAGGGGTGTCAAACTCATTTTTATAAAGGGTCACATCAGCCTTATGGTTTCCTTCAAAGGTCCTTTGAATCCATGGAGGGAAAATCTGTAGATACAGAGAGCCAATTATAATAGTTTCACATAATGGTCGGAACTAATAACTTTATTTTTTATACTCCACCCCCATCTCCCTGAAGGGACTCAGGGCAGCTTACATGGGGCCAAGCCCAAACACATACAGTTAAAATCAGCATATAAAATATGAAAACAACATAAAAACAACATTATAACAATAGTAAGACAAGCATCATACTTGCGGCGGGGGGGGGGGGGGGGGGGGGGGGGGGGGGGGTGATGTGCAAACAAGGTGCATAGATCATATAGCTACTATTTAGTTTTTCCCCAATTTGGGTCCCCAGATGTTATTGAACAGTAACTCCCATCTCTTTTGATTATCCGTCATGCGGACTGGGGATACTATGTATTGCAGCCTAACAGCACTTGTGGCTCTAAGTTTGGGGAAAGGTTAAAGGGCATTTTAAAGTCAGGCATCATATCCACAACCCCACTATCCTGTCTAAAGACAACAAAGTGCAGCCTTACAGATGTTACTCTACCACAACTCACATCAGGTCTTAGTGATGAAGAATACAGGAATTATAGTCCAGCATGACCCGGAGAGCTGGATTTGGTCCGTTGGCCTTGAGTTTGTCACATGTGCATTAAAAACCATTGTGCCCACCTTGTGTTTAACTTGTTTATTTCTTCCCTCCAGCCACCTGAAAAAAGAAAGTGACAAGCCCCTTTAGATGGATTTCATTTCTCATGATGACTTCATTACCCTTTAGCTGCTGCTTCTTCTTTGAGAGGAAGATCAACCAACCAAATCCTGGGCCTGAGGAAAGCTGCACAGTGACACAACCCCTCGTTTCTGTCAACAGAAGAATGCAGGAATCAGAACAACTGCTGTCTGGAGGGGGTGGGGGGAGGGTGGCGAAAAGGAAGGAAAGTGGGTGTAAAGCACCAGTGGGAACTTTAGACAAATGGCTCATCCTCCCCTTGTATTTAGTAAGTGACGGTATAACCACCCCATGCGCTGCCTTTCCTGTGCCCTTTTCCCACCCCAGATCCTTGGGCACATATAGCTAATCAGCAGGAACTCAAAGCATGATGGAACTAAAAAAAACACCCCTTTCCAAACCCTGATGGACAAAAATAACCTGGAGGAAAAGTGCATCATGGGACTTTTCTTGACGGCATTGCCAAGTTCTTCCTCAAACCTCGAGAGACTGATCCAAGTCCATAGGTGCATAGCACCATGTGAGTATCTCCAGGGGCCGCTGCCTTTTTTATATCCATGCCTTGTTGGTGCAGGAGAACCTTGTGGGACTGTTTCAAAGATGACAGCTCTCCTTTCCCCTTCCGTCCCATTGGCAAGGAGAGGTGAACGTGGCCAAGTGGTGCAAGGCATGGTGGGACGTTCCGCAGTGGCAGCTGCCCCTTTCTTCTTCACCCATTCCAATTGATGTATTCATGCACACCCCGTTAGACGTGGCAGTTTTGCGTAGCAATTTGTGATTCCTTGATCTCCCCGTGTGTGTGTCTAATCTCACGGTTGTATATCTTGATCTGTCCTCCTATATATTTACATAAGAACATTAAAAGATACCCAACTATGGGAGAAGAATCTCCCTATACACCAATTTTCCTACATTCTATTTATATATAAATGCAGGTCTTAAAGGTAAAAAAATCACACAATTGCAACATAAAGCGTTTTTGAAATGTGTTGTGTTCATTCTGTGCACACCCAGAGGATGTGCTTATTCGGATTACAATGGAAATGGAGCAAGGCATCCCTGGAGACAGATTCAGTTGCTCTTGGGTAGACCCAGAGGTGCTTTGACTTTCTCTGCTGCTGTTGCAGTCCAGTCCTTTCTGATGTGTTTTGGGAATTGGGCAGAAGAAACCCAGTAATATCAGCTTCTTTTGGTTCTGTTCTGCACTTCTTTGGCTTGTTTGTGCAGATGTGACATATAACCTTTTTTTGCCTATTCTCGCACCTCATTGAATGAAGTGAATAGACATTTTCGAAGAAAGACGATGAATCATAGAATTATAGAGTTGGAAGAGAATCCAAGGTCCCCATTCTGCCACGCAGGAACACACATTTAAAACGCTCTTGACAAATGAACATCCAGCCTCTGCGTAAAAACCTCCAGAAAAGGAAACTCCACTCTGAGGCAGCAGCATATTCCATTACCAACCCTTACCTTCAGAAAGGTCTTCGTAATGTTCAGGTGGAATCTCATTTCCTGGAATTTGAACCCATTACTCTGAGTCCTAGTCTGCTGCCTCTACCTTAGGTCATCCTTCAACCTTCTCTCCTGCAGGCTAAACATACCAAGCTCTTTAAACCATTCCTCATAAGGCATGGTTTCCATACCTTTGACCATTTCAGTCACTCTTCTTCAGATGAGTAGAAATAATAATTTTATCAGTGCAAGGAGTAATGGTTTCTAGTTACTTTTAAAAGTTCTTTTAAAATGCATTTTGGAAATGTTTTAGCAAGAATTTTGACGCTTTTCTGAATCCCACTCCAACAATGAAAGGAAGAAAGGAAGTACAGGCAGTTCCTGGGTTATGAACAATGTGGGTTTTTCTTAAATTGAATTTGTATGTAAGTCAGAACAGGTACATTTTTGAAGTGGAACTCCAGCCAATTTACTCCCCCCCCCCCCAGTTTTGGATAGCATAGGGAACAGTGAACACCCCTGTAGTGTTTATTTTTCTGCCTGTGCCAGTGTTTAGAAGATTTCCACTCACTTTTTGTCCCTGTGACAACTGGATTTTGAAAACATTTCTTGTCATGGAAACAAGGATTAGTGCAAAAGTTTCAGTGGAGACACCTTTCAGGGGTAAATTTCCCTTATTAGGGGTAGTCTTTCTCTTGTTGTCTCACTCTGCTCTTAACTAGGAACCGTATGTAAGTCGGATGTCTGTAACTTAGGGACTGCCTATACTGTATTGTTTTAAGATTGAAAGAAATGTCACAATGGCGACATTTCTTTTTCAAACATCGTAATCAGATTATTCTTGAGAAAGATAACGTTCTAAGATCTGGGTTTCTATTTATGTCAAGCAAAACTCCAAAGTTGAGGAAAAGAGCAAGAGACTTACAGTTTTAGAAAAACAGAATTTTAGGAGGGGAATTGTTTCTCCCTCTGTTCTCAAGCCTGCATGAGGTGCCTGTGAGTGAAGAGCCCGCTATTAAAAACCATTGCATTCACAAGAATGTGTTCTGTGAAGTGGTAAAAAGGCATAGTTGTAAAGCTTTCCTTTTTCTTGAACCTGTACTTCATGCACAGCCCCTTGAGCCAGGGATTTATAATGGTGAAACAACAAGACCCAATGTCCCATAGAGGATGCAGAAGCGGAATCACAGCACCATAACAGTGAAAGAGCCTGAAAGAGACCCAGATGTGCACAGTTATGGTGCTGTGATTCTGCTTCTGCATCCTCTGTGAGACACTGGGTCTTGTTTGGCCAAAAGCACTGGGGGAGCTGGAGGAGGTCAGAAGACCCCCTTTTAAGCTGCCTGTCCAGATTTCTATGGGAGAGACCCCTAACAGTTATCACGGTGCTGTGATAGTGAATGGAGCGTGCACAGATCCCCATTCTCCTTTCAGCTGGGGCGTGTGTGAACAAATGAGAATTTGTAGAACTTGCCTTAAGACCAGCAGCTCTTAACAAACTGAATTCACAAAACTATGGTCCCTTCTACACTTCTATATCCCAGGATCTGATCTCAGATTATCTGCTTTAAACTGGATTATATGAGTCTCCACTGCCAGATAATCTGGGACCAGATCCTGGGATATAGAGGGACAGTGTGGTAGGGGTCTAGGATATAGGTGAAGGGGGTGTAATTTCTTCCTGAGCTGAATAGAAAAAGTAATGAAAACATGGGAAAGAATATAGCTGTCTACAACAATCCTGAAATACAGGGTTTTTCAAAGTGATGGACCCAGTTTCAAAGCAGTATATTTCACAATGGCATCCCGTTACAATTGCACAAAAGTTACAAATGGTTAAAGGACTTATTGAGTTTTGCTTCCATTTTGAGCCAGAAGCAAATCCAAATAATAATCATAATCATACAAATAGAGAATATCTCATAATCTATTTATTTACTGTGTTTGTATACTGCCTTTCTCAGCCTGCAGGTGACTCAAGGCAGTTTACAGGCATACGGCTTTATGCTGCAAGGGAAGTACCTTGCATATTGACTGCTGTTATCGACTGTTTGTGACCTGGGACAGGTATTGTGCTAGTCTTTGGGAACTCTCTGCCCTGCCTTTTCAATAGGTGAGAGCCCTCATTGCAAAAGGTCATGCGAATCCAGAATAAGTCTCCATAGCCACTTATGGAGCCACCGTCAAAGACTCTACTTTGGGAAGACAATAATCCTCGACCACTAGTGATAGCCTATGATTTGTTCATTTATTCATTGTATCAGAAGCAAATTAAGGGTACAGTTGTAATGTCTTTAAAAACAAACAAAGTTTAAAAGCTTGGCATTCTACTAAATGCCCTTTGACCAGTAGCTGGCCACTTGGGAGTGTCTCTCGTAAGAAGGTCCTCCATTGTGAATGTGGCGGAGCTCAGGCTGCATTGTAGGAGGTCTGTGGTTTGCTCTTCTCCACACTCACATGTTGTGGACTCCACTTTATGGACCCATTTCTGAAGGTTGCCTCTGTACTTCGTGGTGCCAGAGCGCAGTCTGTTCAGTGCCTTCCAAGTCACCCAGCCTTCTGTGTCTCATTTGCGGTCAATTATGGATTGATACCATCATTAGCCTATGCTTGCTTACTTAGGTGATCCCTCGTCCAAGTAGGATAGTCTTCCAAGATCGGTGTCCTGACGGTGGGTCCATAGGTGACTGTGGAGTCCTATTCTTGATCTGCATGTTATCCCACAGTGAGGTCATTGGTTTCCAGGTGGAAGGTGGTCCCGATTGGAGTTGGCTTGACACGCCTTCCTCTTGGCATGTTTCTCTCTTTCAACCTCCATTCATGCCTCTTCAAATTCTGCAGCACTGCTGGTCACAGCTGACCTCCTACTGGAGCGCTCAAGGGCCAGGGCTTCCCAGTTCTCAGTGTCTATGCCAGAGTTTTTAAGGTTGGCTTTGAACCCATCTTTAAATCTTTTTTCCTGCCCGCCAACATTCTGTTTTCCGTTCTATGATGATGAAGCTGGAACGGACTTGAAGGTACACAACAACAACAGTGTGAAGCGTCTCTTTGAACATCCTCCTGACATCTCTCTCCTCGAGACTACACCTTCTGTTTAAATTTGGCCCCAAGAGCGAGTGAACAGTGGGCAATCCAACCAGGGCCAGAAACAGTTGGAACGCCTTGGGCAGTAGCTTGGGCCTCCAACTCCCAGAATTCCTGACCATTGAACAAGCTGGCTAGGGCTTCTGGGAGTTGGAGGCCGGCTCTGGGGATTCTGATCCCGCCTCCTTTTGCCTGCCGCTCCTATAGGGAAACCTCACCGGTGGGGCGTGGTCTCCTGCCCTTCCGACCAATGGAAAGGAATTTATTAGCATATGAATTTGCAGCGTCCGAGGGAAGACTTTTAAATAAATAAAGCAACATTTCCGGGAAAATAAATAAATATTTTGGTGAGGTTGTTATTAAGGGCTCGCAATGAACTCTCAGGGATGTAAAATAATTTTTGCTCACCATGACCTGATCCATCTTCTCTTTTCTGTGGGTGTAATGCTCGGTAATTGGGGCCTTTAGTGATTTCAGCTCTTTTAGTATTTGTCTAGCAGGCTTTCTGCGGTTAGCGGAGAGCCACCTAGCGCTCGGTTAAATAACAGATGTGTTAATTCCCTATAAGGAAAGCCCTTATTTCCATATGTTAGCTCTGAATGTATATATTTCAATTAAACTGTTCCCAAAGCGGGAGTGGTATCTCCACCAACATTATTATATGCAGACGCGTGGCGGTTAAAATCCAAAACGCATGCGGGGCTGAAGTTTGCCCAAACCTTGTCTACATTGAGTACTTAATGCGGTTTCAGATTGTGCTAGGTGGGATGGGAAGGCGGAGCAGTTTCCTGTGGGTGCGCGGCTTCCGTGGCCTGCCTTGCGTCACTTCCGCCTCTGGCTCCGCCCCCTCCTCCTCCTCCCGCGCGATGTCGAGCCTCCAGCGCCCCTCGGCCCCATCGCCGCAGCCGGTCTCCCTCAGCGCGGAGCAGGCCAAAGGTGGGTGCCTCGCGCCGACCTCCCTCACTCACCCCCCCTTCCCCAAACTAAGCCTGTGCACGCGCCGGGAAGGGGCCTCGCGCCGTTGGCCTGGAAACCATTCCCCCGCCTACCCCGGAAGCTCACGTGACAGGCTAGCCCCTCCTCTCCCGTGAGTGGCACACAGGACTTCCAAAAAGCCGGTTTCAAGGCTCTAGGTAAGGAGGCCTGCGTAAGGAAAGGCAACCAGTCAGCAGGGACCCGGATGTTGAGAAGCCCCGCCCCCAAGTGGTTCAGAACTCGTAGTTGGAGCACACTTCCGGGAAGGAGGCCCTGCCCCTCGGCGTTATCTTCTTCTATCTTTCTTCTATATCTATCTATCTGTCTATCTTCTATATCTATATAAATAAAAATGTAATGTTCGGTTGTGGGATTAACAGAACTCAAAAATCACTGGACGAATTGACACCAAATTTAGACACAAGACACCTAACAACCCAATGTGTGTCCTTCACTCAAAAAAATTGATTTTGTCATTTGGGAGTTGTAGTTGCTGGGATTTATAGTTCGCCTACAATTAAAGAACATTCTGAACCCCACCAGCGATAGAATTGGGCCAAACCTCCCACACAGAACCCCCATGTGGCCACAGCAACGCGTGGCAGGGCACAGCTAGTCTATAAATAAAAATGTAATGTTCATTTGTGGGATTAACATAACTCAAAAACTACTTGACAAATTGACACCAAATTTGGACACATTACAACTGTCAGGCCAACAAGTGACCATCACTCATAAAAACACTGAAAAACACAAAAGAAGAGACTTTAAAAGCCAAAAAATAAAAAATACATTACAACGCATGCGCATAACTACATATATACACACATACACACATATAAACACACACACAAAACACATATACATAGACCGGGCCACAGCAACATGTGGCAGGGGACAGCTAGTAAAAAAGAGAAAAATACTGAAGCGAGAGACACCAACAGATCCTTATAGAAAAAATGGAAGGCTGAGGAGGAAAAGGAAAGGGCCTGAGGTCTCTGAGGATGCCTGCCATAGATGTGGGCGAAACATCAGGGGAGAATGCTTCTGGAACAAGGCCATACTGCCTGGAAAACTCACAGCAACCCAAAGCATGGTCTTCCAAGAGTCTTCCTTCCAAATAAGCAATGTTTTTAGGCAGTTGGATGCATTTAATTCTTTGTAGTCTTGTCCAGACAAATAAGATAACCTGACCATCATTATTGTCCAAGAGTGATTGTGAAAGCCTATTTTGGATCTGTGTCGTCTTTCCCAGTGAGAATGTTCATTTCCAGGTGAGAGTCAGTTCTGACAAAGGCTTGCTTGATGTGCCTTCCTCTTGGCATGCTTCTCCCAATTGCACTCTGATTGTGACTCTTCTGAGTGCGTGTGGCGTTCGGATCCAAGCGAGCCAAATCGAACACGGTTTGTGTCCTTTTTAAGGGCATATGCCGCGGNAGAGAGCGTGTGGCGTTCGGATCCGAGCGAGCCAAATCGAACACGGTTTGTGTCCTTTTTAAGGACATATGCTGCGGCAATAAAAGCCGCAAAGAAGACTTTCTTTGTGGCTACTATTGCGTCTGCAAAGAACCGTCCGGCTGAACTGTTCCGAGTTGTCAGAGGCCTGTTGAAACCCACCACTCAGGATGGGAGCCCTGGTGACTCGGCAGCTCGCTGTGAAGCCTTTGCTCAGTTCTTTGCCGACAAAGTCGCTTTGATCCGCTCTGGTCTGGATACCATATTAACGGCAGTCTCTGAGGATGTAGCATGAGCATCTGCTTGTCCGGTTTTGATGGATTCATTTCAATTGGTGAAACCCGAGGATGTGGACAAGGTGCTTGGAGGAATGAGGGCAACCACATGCATCCTAGACCCCTGCCCATCCTGGCTTCTAAAGGAGGCCAGAGGGGGATTGGCTGAGTGGGTGAAGGTGGTGGTTAATGCCTCCCTTCGGGAAGGCAAAATTCCAGCCAGCTTAAAACAAGCTGTGATAAAACCGCTGTTGAAAAAACCATCACTGGACCCCCACTCAATTTGTGAACTATCGGCCTGTTTCCAATCTCCCCTTTTTGGGCAAAGTCATGGAACATGTGGTGGCCTCACAACTCCAGGCATTCTTGGTAGACACGGATTATCTGGATCCGGCACAGTCTGGCTTTAGGCCGGGGCATGGTACCGAGACAGCCTTGGTCGCCTTAGTGGATGATCTGCGCCGGGAGCTCGACAGGGGGAGTGTGTCCCTGTTGGTGCTGCTGGACCTCTCAGTGGCCTTCGATACCGTCGACCACGGTATCCTTCTGGGATGCCTCGCGGGGATGGGTCTTGGAGGTACTGTTTTGCAGTGGCTCCGGTCATTCCTGGAGGGCCGGTCTCGGAAGGTGTTACTGGGAGACACCTGTTCAACCCCACAACCTTTGTCTTGTGGGGTTCCTTAGGGCTCAATATTGTCTCCCATGTTGTTTAACATCTACATGAAGCCGCTGGGGGAGATCATCCGGAGTTGCGGAGTGCGATGTCATCTGTACGCGGATGATGTCCAACTCTGTCACTCCTTTCCACCTGCTACTAAGGAGGCTGTCCAGGTTCTGAACCGGTGCTTGGCCGCTGTGACGGTCTGGATGAGGGCGAACAAATTGAAACTGAATCCGGACAAGACAGAGGTACTCCTGGTCAGTCGAAAGGCCGAACAGGGTATAGGGTTACAGCCTGTGTTGGATGGGGTCGCACTCCCCCTGAAGACGCAGGTTCGCAGCCTGGGTGTGATCCTGGACGCATCGCTGAGCCTGGAACCCCAGGTCTCGGCGGTGACCAGGGGAGCATTTGCACAGCTTAGGCTCGTGCGCCAGCTGCGCCCGTTCCTTGGGAAGTCTGACTTGGCCACGGTAGTCCACGCTCTTGTTACATCCTGCCTAGACTACTGCAACGCTCTCTACGTGGGGTTGCCTTTGAAGACGGCTCAGAAGCTCCAGCTAGTCCAACGC